CCAGAAAGGGGAATAGTTCGTCATGCAAGTTCAGCTGTAGTGCAGTAGATCATGCACCAAGGGAAACATTGTTACTTAGTATTTCTTCATTTCAGTGGCTTGAATATATTTTTTATCAGCGACTTGCTGGTTCTGCATGCACTTAATAAAGTTTTTTAGTTTTAATAATAAGTTTTTGTAATCAGTTTTAATGCTGTTTTCCAAGTTTTCTATCTGTACATAGATACAATGTACCTGTGCTGTTTATTACTGCTTGACGTTAGAGAACCGTTTCCTCATCTTGGTAGATGCAGATGTAAGTGACGAGTCAGTAATCTTGAGCAGAGTCCAGGAGTAATGACGTGCATGGCAATGACATTTACTGCTGGCCTCAAAGTGAAACAGTGCTTAGGGATGGGGGAGGGAGGTTCAGGAATATCCTTCTACCATAGAAATTATTTGTGAATTGTTTAGTTGCATTCCTCACAGTCCTTGCATTCTGGGCGATTTTTTCGAGGCCATTTTTCGGGGTCCAACACTATTCCTATTTGCCCCAGACAACTAGACAAGCGTAAATCGATGTCGATGTTATCTGTGCATGGAAGGCTACCAGTTTGATGATGGCACCTACGACAGGTGGCATGGTTGCGCTCATAGGGTCTATGTCCCCCAGGGTACTGCCGGAACGTACCCTGGGTACCCTGGTCACTATTTGATATGGTTATAGGGTTAGGATTAGGGTTAGGGTTTGGATTAGGGATAGGGTTAGTGTTATGGTTAGGGTTAGGGAGTAGGCGTAGGCGACTCCCTAGACTCGTTAGTGGAGTAGGCGAGGTACGGTCCGGCATATTAGATAGTACCAGGGTACGTTCCGGTATACCGGACCGTACCCAGGGTACCTTCCGGCAGTACCCCGGGGGACATAGACCCTCTCAGCCATGGTTGCCCCCTTAATGACTGTGGTGCCTTGAAATTTTGGCTGCTATCTACAGCAATAAATTGTTGTGACTGCTCAACCTAGTTTGCTTATGCAGGACTATCTGTTAATCCTATTTTGTGTATGTATCACTCTGACTTGCATGATAAGTGTTGATAAAAACTAATTTGCCTAGTGCACCTGCTTTGAAGGCAATGTTTGATATGGTGACCCTACAACTTCCTGTGGTGTCCTAAAATTTCTGGCTGGACCCAAGGCAACACTTGCGTATGTCTAAAAACGAAATTTTGTTCCTTGGAATATTTATATCCAATTATATCCACATATACATGTATGTGTTGGTGTATATCTTTCCATCTCTGCTTGCTATTGTGATACCAGACACATGTAAATGTGTCAGAAATAATTAAAACTTTTTTTATTTAACTTGCAGGTGAGGTTGGGGAACTCATCCTCATCAGTGGTGGCGTAGAAAACCTGCCAAAAAATCCACTGCAAGTATGACGCAGCAGCCGCCTAGCGGGTCGTTCTTCGACCAACTGGCACTTGGTTTCAGACACAATATTGACTTGTCCAATGTTGAAGATCAGAACAGAGTAGGAGAGTTTGAGCCACCGGTCAGCAAGGCTCTTTTCAAGTTCTCTCTGGGTACCTGGAGGGTATCTCAGTCTGATGGCCTGACACGAACGAGGTCCTTGGAGAAACTGTCTGGTAAGTCAGCCTGCCACCTTTGGTACTTTTTGCGTACTCGTCAGACGTCTACTATGTTGGTGGAGAGGTGTGGTAGAAACAGACTGGTAACAGACAGGTAGAGCGTGTTAGAGTCAGAAAAACGGTCAGCTGATCATTTGACATTTGTATGTGCAGCACCACTATGATGCAGCATGTAAATTGTCACTGCTGCTCGCCTGATATAAAACTTCATCGATAAGCGCTTGGCTGGTTCGCGAAAGCGAGTACAGAGAAAAGTTTGAGAAAAACCCCTCGAGCGGATCGTAAATAGTAAGCCGTAGGCGCGCGGCAGTTAGCGTACGAAAAAAAGCTCGAATCGCTAATCGCGCCGCGAATCGATTTTGCAGACGCAGAGGGTGTCGACACAACGCCACTCACCTCTCCGCAGACGACGCCGCAGAAGAATCAGAACACGCTCAACTTCTTCGGCGGCGTGCTGACGCTGCACGGACCGACGGTCGCGCACGCCGAGGAGCGGCCGAGAGAGGAGCCGCCGCAGCCGGCGCCGGTGGGGCCGCGGCGCCGCGTCACCGTCCACGGCCCGCCGCCCGTTATCGGCGACGATGGCCTTGTCAAGGAGGCGCCCGTCGCGCCGCCGGCGCTCGTGCAGGCGATACAGCCATCGCGGCGGCGCGTCACCGTCTGCGGGCCCGCGCCGATGGTGTACGCCGACGGCACTGTCGGGCCGGGCGAGCGCTCGTCGAGCGACACGCAGCTGGCGGGCGACGCGCCGCGGCAGCCGAGCGCATTCTCGTCGCACTCGATCCCGGAGGAGGACGGCGCGGCGTCAACGGCCGTCGTCGCGAAGCAGGAGCCGTCGCGGCGCGTCACGGTCAGCGGCACCGCGCCGCAGCTGACGCCCTCCGGCGAAGTCGCGCTGCCGCCGGAGAAGTCGGTCCAGCGGAAGTCGTCGTGGGCGGGCCTCGGCGGATTCCTGCAGAGGCACTACGGCGGGGAGCAGGAGAACGGCGTGCCGGAGGCGCGCAACGTGTCGAACGCGGCGGGGACGGACGAGCCCGGCTCGCTGGCTAACAAGCTGACGAGCCAGCTGAAGACGATGAACGAACCGTTCAAGGATCACAGGAAGAGGGCGCCGGTGAGGAAGGCCGGCGCCTGCAGGGTGAGGCGCTCCGACCTCAACGTTTGGGCTCCTACCTCGATGTAGCTGCGAAATCGATGGCTGTTTATTGTTGACGCGGTGGCGGTGCCGTTTTTATCGGGAAGATGAGGATGGTGAAATGTGGCTGCTCGTCACATTGCCTACAGATGACCGGTGAAACCATCCTGTCGATCTCGTATCTACTTCATGGGGGGTATCTTTATTTTGCAGTGGGTATTCTACACTAGAGCGTAGTGTATCGATGGATGTTCATGACATACATTTAATTCTGTATAGATGTAGCTAAGCAACAAGGAAATATATGCATTCATGGGTATTTTCATATGCTGAGTGTTTATGAATGGACAGTCTGCGGGTAGATATACATTTATTGTTGATTTACATATTAAAGTTGGGTGAATGCATTTTTGCAATTTTAACCAAGCTATAAGAGTCGAGTTATTATTTATGAACAAGGAAAAATTAATCAGTGTAAATGATTTCTGATCATCATGGTGTATTTACCGAATTTTATTTTGTTTTCCTAACGGGTTTCTATGCGCATATCTGTGTAATAAGGCATGTTGTAGTTTGTAATTTGTGTGTATACCTTAATGCGTCATCAAAAGCATTCTTTGTACGTGTGCATCCTTACAATCCAGTGTGGATTATATACAAATGTGTAATCGTCTAGCCCCTTGATACCGTGCCAGGTTATAAGGCGGTGCAGCTGAGAGGGTCTATGTCCCCCAGGGTACAGCCGGAACGTACCTTGGGTATGGTCCGGTATACCGGAACGTACCCTGGTACTATCTAATATGCCGGACCGTACCTCGCCTACTCTACTACCGAGTCTAGGGAATCGCCTACGCCTACTCCCTAACCATATCAAATAGTGACCAGGGTACCGGACCGTACCCAGAGTACGTTCCGGCAGTACCCTGGTGGACATAGTCATAGACCCTATGAGTGGCGATGCATTACAAGTATTGAACAATAATGTCAAAGTACTTAGTAATTCTATGTACATTTGTTCTACACGTAACGTAATGTGCTTGGGCTCAACTTGTGTTCGCATGGAAAGCGAAAGTATATGCGCGATGGTTAGCGCACGTGTGCTAATCATTTTGCTATGACTAATGAAGATATGCTATCATAGTTTGGTAGCTAGACAAACTATATAAATGCCTAGAATGAAGGGAAATTAGTAGAAGTTACTAATGTGTCTATCTATCTAATATTTTTATTATGTAATAATTTTTTGCTTATATTATGGTTAAATGAGAATGTATGTTCTGTAGAGTTGGACGTTTGATAGCGCTGCTATTTATGCCAGTCTACAAACCAGTATATATATGTATATATTATATATATATACATCCGGTGTAACAGGTCGCATATGAATATAACATTCTTTTTTCGCACACAATATGTTGAATAACTTCCCGATTCCCATCATCAAAGTCTTGCAGAGTTGAGAAGAAGTACTGTGATACGTGTAAATATAATGGGTTTTCTCCTACAGCTAAGCTTAAAATGTGACCAGGTTTGTCACGATAATTTGCCGAGTTAAGGTGTGAATTTCATATTCATAGGTGACCTCGCGTGCGAAACCCGTGCAATGAAATGGTATGCTGGCAAGTGGTTAAGCTAGCAAACATTTACTGTCGTCAATTGATTGTATCATTCGAAAGTTAACCAAAGCTGGAGGTGGTCGCATGTATCCAAAATACTGATCGACTATGTAATCGGTGTAAGATTTTGGTTTTTACCTTCAGCTATTAGTTTATTGGATCTGGGTAGAACGTTTTGTATATATTAGTGTATTTAATATCACGTTCATGAGATCTTGGAGCTGATCTCTGTAAGGGAACCGTGTATTTGTCGCTTCCTGATAAGTGTACATTAATATGCGTACTATAATACATTGCTGCATTAATGGAATCTAATGTTCCAGACTTAGAACATGGGCGATTCTTCACAACAGAGATTGTGATTTGTCCTGTGTAATGAGAACAGGTCTGTACAGTTGAAATGTAATTTTGTGTGTTATACTTTAAATACAAATAAATAATTTATTAGTACAACTTCGTCCTGTTTTGGAAAACTGTCAACAATTGAAAATCTCCACGTGGATTCTTGTTTGCAGTTATATTTGGGTGTAGGTTAATTTCTCCAATAGATGGTTTGATTTCTAATGCACGAGTCGAGAGATGATAAGTGAACGTGACAGAAAATAAATGAAGTGACATATAAGAGCACTAAGGTATATAATTTTTATTACAGAAGGAAACTCATAATTTGTGTGAAAACAGATAAAACACTAGACAATATGTATCTACAGGAGATTTAGCTACACTGCCTTATCTCCTATATGTAGTAAATATTAATCCTTGCATTATGTACAAGAACAGGTACATTTATGTACTCTACATAACGTTATCAGTTTATGAACTTTGTGTTTATACAAAACTCCTTTATTACAAAGGTAAATAATGACTAAGCATCAAGCAGGGACTGTCACTAATGAACAGGCTTCTTAGACTGATTCCGCACATTTATTCCAATTCCAAGAAGAAGGGCTCCAATTGTAAAGCCTTGTGCACCAATACGCAGTCGCATCATCGTCTGTGACTTCTGCATATTGCCAGTTCTAAAGCTCCACAGTCCATAAGATAAGACAGCTGCTGTTAGCAGACACCCTGCAAGCGGTAGCAAAATTAATGTTAATTGAAATCAAGTGAAGATAGTACAGTCAACCTCGCTTAATTTGTATCAGACGGGACCACGATATTTTCTACAAATTACGTAATCAACGAATTAGACAATTCGTATTTTCCACGAATTCTATTTTTAATCCGTAGAAACCACGAAATAGATAGATAATTTGTGTAAACAACGGTAAAAACTTGCGACGCGCCGCGACTGTTTCCTCGCGAGCTGGAAAAAAACAATGCGTCCAAGAGAACAATGCAAATGAAACAATCAGTGCACACATCAATAACTCGTAACTCAGTTGCGCGATCAGGACTTTGACTTCCATGACGACTTATGCAAATTGACGAGTTAGACACTCGTCAATTCGCATAAGTCGTCATGGAAGTCAAAGTTCCGATCGCGCAACTGAGTTTACATTTTATCTTTGAGAATACAGTAAAACTCGCATAAGTCGTCATCGTCTAGATGACGACTTATGCTAGTTTTACTGTATTCTCAAAGATAAAATGTTGTTTGCATAAACAAACATTCCCTACGAATTACACGTGTCATTTTGAATTGAATAATGTTAATTGAACCAGAGAATTTTGTACGAATTACAGAATACGAATTATACAACAGAAATTAAAGGGAATAAAGAAGAGAAATATTGGGACCACATGTTTTTGTACGAATTAGGTCATTCTACGAATAAAGTGATGACGAATTAAGTGAGGTTGACTGTATAAGCTGCTCTTATAACGTTCATATGGTACGGTGGCATCAAACATTGAGAAATATGAGCAATGCAAGCAAAATCACAACTTGTAAACCATCCCACATCTAATATATCCACCCAATTAACTTCTTGATTAGACCTTATAGTAGAAGAGATTTTAGGAAATGCATACGAGACTTCGAAGGGCGCAATGTATATATAATTATGTAACAATAAGCAATATGTATTCTACATAGTAAGCTTTAAAGGGATACTAGACTCTAGGATTTTACTGTATACAACTGTACTTACTGTATAACAAATCGTCTATACCCACACGTACTTGTTACCAGATACCTAATTTAATTGTTATAATTAATTATACATCAACGCTACGAAATTGAACGGCGCCATTGACACCCGCAACCGTGCTGCCACCCTGACAAAGTTGCCCATTTCCCAATATATTTTGCACGTTACAAACCGAGGGCTAATCACAAAGGTGCAATTATATTTATACCTAAATGCTATTTAACCGAACGATGTTTATTTTAGGACAAATTTATCCATAATATAACTGAAACTATATGTCGTTTATAAGATATTACAATCCTTTTGCTTTTAAATTAATAAATAAGAAACACCCTCGGTCTGTAGCCCTTAGCTGACAAGTTGTTTTGCGCAACTTTTCAGATCGTGCCCTTTGAGTGGCGCCACCGTCGTTGTAATCAAACTGTAGTCGTTAGTTTTAAAACATAAAAAAAATATATTTCTAATGGTGATTGAACCATGAAACCTTTTATGTAGCGTAATTTTAACCTAAATTAACTGAAAATAATCCTAGAACCTAGAGTAAAGGATCCCTTTAATTGTGCTTCTACAGGGTGCTACCAAAATTGTTTTTTTTTACGAAACTGGTTGCCCGGAGGCAAAAGTCACTCGCCCGAAAAACATAAAAAAATACATTTAAAAAATTCCAATATGAATTTAAATGGTAAATAACGTAAATGAAGGTCCAACTAGTCAACATTCAGCATTTCACTTAACGACACAGTAGAAAGTTGAACAGCTGATACGAGTTTGTATACAAAATATATTAATGTTGGGACACAGCATGCAGTTTGTTTTTTATTTTTAAATTTTTTAAGTGTCAGTTTATTATTAAAAACCCACCACACTCACAATAAATTAATAAAATATGTTCACGTTTATTTGGGGCTGGATCGTAAGCGCAGAGAATATAGCCGTGCATGCATGCAGATATACATACACTAGCTGCGTTCACATGATGATTTCAGTACTGTACTTAGCGTTCACACGGTAAAAATGCCTCCTAGTACAGTAAATTATATGAAATACCCAGAACAAATTGCAACAGACGGTTTTATAGTTGGAAGTTGTTGATTGGACCCTCCTAAACTTTATATGCAAAATCGGCCAAAATCGGACTACGGGAAACCGGCTAATTAGCATAAATCCAAAATGGCCACCATTTTCAAGTTTGAGGCTAGTTTGCCCTAGATAGTACAGGATCGAGCTAAAAGCCAAAAATCAGATGAATTAATTGTGCACTTTTTGACAAAAGCATGAAAATTTAATTGGCATAACGGTAGTTTAAGATATGTACATTCATATGAGATCGGATACCGATCTCCATCGGTATGGTATCTGGGCGCCATCTTGAATTTAAAATTGGCCACCATCAAAATCCATTATCTTATATTTTTCAGCTAATATTCAACATAGAAACAAGATTTTGGTGTCTAAACCAACATTATCGGGGTCAAGAAACCCATTACAATCAAAATCATTATCGGTCGGTGGCCGCCATCTTGAATTTCAAAATGGCCGCCATCCAAATCTATTATCTTTCATATTTCAGCTAATATTCAACATAGAAACATGATCTTGGTGTCTAAACCAACATTATCGGGGTCAAGAAACCCATTACAATCGAAACCATTATCGGTCGGTGGCCGCAATCTTGAATTTCAAAATGGCCACTATCCAAATCTATTATCTTTCATATTTCAGCTAATATAATTTAACATAGAAACAAGATCTTGGTGTCTAAACCAACATTATCGGAGTCAAGAAACCCATTACAATCGAAACCATTATCGGTCGGTGGCCGCCATCTTGAATTTCAAAATTGCCACTATCCAAATCTATTATCTTTAATATTTCAGCTAATATACATATAAACATGATCTTGGTGTCTAAACCAACATTATCGGAGTCAAGAAACCCATTACAATCGAAACCATTATCGGTCGGTGGCCGCCATCTTAAATTTCAAAATGGCCACTATCCAAATCTATTATCTTTCATATTTCATCTAATATTCAACATAGAAACATGATCTTGGTGTCTAAACCAACATTATCGGGGTCAAGAAACCCATTACAATCGAAACCATTATCGGTCGGTGTCCGCCATTTTGGATTTCAAAATGGCCGCCATTAAAATCCATTATCATTTAATATTTAATAATGCAGCAATTTAGCCATAAAAAGTAAACAGAATTACTTGCATTTTGTGAAAAAAGTGGACATACTTTGTTTACTCTTACTATTTACAGTGATGTAATTACTTATAAGACGCCTTCACAACGGCGTGTATACAAAATTATTACAAAATTATTACAAATGGATATACAAATATATACATATATACAAATGGATACAACGAATCAATCTAGCCTGTAAAAGCTATTCATATCAGTCTGCATCAGTCATAAGCAAGTTAACACACTATACTTCTAATCACAAGTCAAGGTCGTCCGGGTCCGCAGCATCACAATCAACCGAAATATTTTTACAGATTCCATCCTGACATTCACTACATGCAATGGTACATTCTAATCCGTGCTTCTTGCAGCTACATCTATTATTTTTACATTGTCCTTTACATTGGCACCTGCTAACTTTAAGTTTAAGGAGAGATTCTGGAGCTGGTGGGCCATCCATAGTAACAGGTTCAAGGCTACCGCTCTGTGACTGCCAACCACAATCTTCCGGATTCAGACCCGTACCCTTCCCTATCCAAACCAAGTAATAAACTCTGTAAGAGTGATACTTTGCAGAATCTGATGTTGGTGGAAGGTTTTGAACATCCACACTTCTGATACTTTTTAGAACTTTTTCACTAAACTTCCTCTTGCGCAGGGAATCCAAGGTGTCCGTAGATGACCCTCCATAAAGAGACATCAACGCTTTTTCTCCAGCTTTCAGAATGTTGTCGGCAGTCTTATTCACAGAAAACACTTGTGCTTGTTTCATGAACAGTTCATCTTTCTGTGCTTTCTTGAGGGCAGCACCTTTCCCAATTCCAAACAGACGGGAGGTATTTACATCCAGAAATGGCATACATGTATGAAAGGTAGAGCACGGCAAGCCTCATCACCAAGCCTTTTTTGTAGCAAATGAATGTCCCAAATAGAATACTTTGCTGTCGGTTTTTCTGACCTAAAATATAGACCCTTGGAACACGAATCTGCATGATGACAAAGTAATATTAGAATGTCAGTGTCCTCTCCAATGACATGTGTAATCCCAGTTGTGGCATGGTCAATGGCTGTCGTTGCTATGAGTATATCGGCGTTGGCATCTGCCTGGTATGGGGCGCCAAGTGTCACATGACTGATTTCGTTGCGAAATCAATGATTTTGTAACGAAATCAAGTCTACAAAGTGATTTCGTTACGAAATCAAGTCTACAAAGTGATTTCGTTACGAAATCACTACTGCGATGAATTGCGTTACGAAATCAGCTACTGGCGAGTGATTTCTTACGAAATCAGCTACCAGGTCTTTGGATCAGCTACACCCTCGCAAGTGTCCGCATGAACTTGATTCGTTACGAAATCCAATGATTTTTCGTAAGCGAAATTAATGGGCCGCCAATGAAGGCAATGGGTAAAGTTGCGTGTAACCCGCGGCACGTGCGTGTACGTGGGTACACGCCCGTAACACGGAGAACACGCAGCGTATACAGCGTTGACGTAAGCTATTGGTCTCATCCTGCAGTGCTTGTCGTCCATTTCGGGTTGTCGACTTCACAGGAGCTCGCTGACAAGCTATCATCTGTGGTCGCATGTTCTTTCATGTACGTGCGAAAGTAGAGTACCAGTAATCTCATTAATGACTGAGGTGGAAGCCTGAACTCTAGGGGTGTAAGTCCTCCAGTTTCTTGGTCTCCCAGCAAGGTACGCCAGTGCTATTAGTTATCCGTTCCTCGAATATGGAAGGAATCCAAGCAAATATCTGTTCAAAGTGTTCACATGCCC